GTTGTTGGTTATAAGAGGCTTGTTAGAGCGATGAGAGGAGACGTTCGAGTGAACTGAACTGTAGATTGGGGGTACAGAGGTCCCCTATATATACTACTGTACATCTGTGGCTACGTAGTACTATACAGTACATTCCCAGGATGCACAGTCGCACAGAGAAGCAGTGCGTACACAGCGAAGCTGTGTGTGTACCACATGAGTAGTACAGCCTCGGTTATTGCAGTAACCGGCTGTGCCGTTCCATATCTTGTGACGGCTGTGTTAGGCAAGCTGTGTAAACCAGCGCCTGTTCAACAGCCAGGACCGACAGTCAGTGTTCAGGCGCCCCGCAAGGTCCGGCCATTGCAGAGCATACCTGGCGATTCTCTACCAGTTTTCGCCATCCCTTTGCCATATCTCGCCAATCTGGCCGTGTAAGACGGATGCCGGACATAACTGACCATTTCTTTCGCTTTTTTGCTGATGGAGGGCGGCTGTTGATGTCTCGTTGGCCCGGCGCGAATGCTCGCCCCTGGTGGCTGAGATGGGCGCCTGTGCCAGGCCGTCTCCTTTCTTCAAGACTCGAGCTCTTTCTGCTTGTCACTGTCCACCTGCCCAGCCAAGACGTGATCGCCAGAAACAGCCGCCGCTCCTTCGACCTCGCATCTCGCCATGCCCATGTATGATAATTAGTAGTTCATGTAGTGTACTCGATCCCATCACCGTCAGAGCTCAGCGCTCCTCGCTCGCAATCGTCACTCCTCTGACGACGCACCCATCACATGCCGGCTCGTCCGCAACCCTGCCCTCGCATCCCGTACGTAGCATTCTCCTATCTCTACTGAGTGTCTCTCACAGCAGTCAGTCGCCGAGTAGCCTGTACGCACGACCCCCGCCGGCGCGCTTCTTTCATAATGAACGGTTCGATAACCGCACGTTAACCCCGCCTCTTGCAAGGAGTGCACAGCGGAGACGGAGACGCATACCCTCTGGCATATATGGGGGGAAGGAGTCCCACCAAGGAACTGCAGCGGCGGATCGTTGTCTCGGCTGTCGGGCCGCATCGATGTAGCGTTCGGACCCTCGTGGTCCTCGTCTACTGGCGAGCCAGACTTCATAGACGACGTCGATGACGAAGACGACATGGTGTTTGGTCTCTTTGATTGAGGTTCGTAGGTACGCAATAGTACATCGTTGTCACAGAGTCCGATTGATAGCAGACAATCATCGTTCGGCTGTAGACCTCTGTCTTGTGTGTCGTCACTTTCTTCGCAGCAGATCTACGAGAAATAGCTGTGAATTGGCCACAGTGAGGCGATAGTCTAGTGCACAGGTCGGTGTCAGGAAGGAAGGCGACCTCATCACAACTTAGCGGGAACAAGGCACGCAATGCAACCGGCTTCCACGGTCTTCCCGCCACAGGATGCATGCCCACATGACCCTTACTGAACTTCACACCGTCACACAGTCAGCCTCCGGACCTCGCGCTACCACCTCCCAGTGCAACTTAGCAAAACGCAACTGAGCGAACACAGCACTCGATGCCGCGCGTTCCATACGTACCCGAAGACACTCCGGGACCCATCGCGGACGAGATCCGTGTTAGGCGGGGTGGAAGGGGTCTTTCTCCTTTGGATACCATGCTTCTTAATGCGCCACCTATCGCGGAGGGATGGTCGAAGCTGCTTGGGGCGATTCGGACAAAGAGTACGCTGGAGGACGACCTCAGGGAGATCATAGTAAGTGGGGAATACCGGTCCTCCGCCAGCGCAGCCGACTTACTCACAAGCGCGGGCATATGTAGATCCTGCGAGTCGCCGCTCGGAACAAGGCGTCGTTCGAATGGGTCCAGCACGAGCCGGTTGCTCGGGCGGC